GTTGTTGTTTCAGCAAGTACACTGGCCAAAAATTTCATCATTTTGCTTTGGTTTGTTTCATGCACAGAGTACTTCATTGTACCTGAAGAAATCCTTGCACGTGGTCCCTTGACATTACATGCTTACAACAAGGCTCTCATGGAGGGAAAAACAAAAGTAAGAAGGTTGCCAATCATGTTAATTGGACAGGATCGAGCTGGAAAAACAAGTTTGAAAAAGTCACTCAAGGGAGAGAGGTTTAATGCCAATGAAAAGAGTACGTCAGGAATAGAGGTGGATCCCTCTCATTGTGAAGTAACCACCGAGGTATGGAAGCTACAAAACCTCGATCAAAATTGTTGTTATACTCCCGCTACTTCATTTGAACATCAAGCAGCACGACTTGTTGTAAATGAATTGATTGATACAAACGAGATTTGTGGTGGTACAAATGGGCCACCAACTGACACTACACGGAATTCTCAGGCCAAATACTATCCCTCGGTGACCTGCGACAGCCTTCAATCAACGCACGAGATTAGCTACTCAAATGACTCAGCCCAAGTGCAAGAGCAGGCCTTGACTGAACCTGGCATTTCTGAAGAATTAGTGGACTTAATTAGAAGTCAATTGTTCGAAGATGTTAAGTCAGACGGCGAGGAAGAGATTTATTCAACTCTGTGGGATTTTGGTGGGCAGCTGGTTTACTATGTCACACACCCTCTCTTTTTGACAAAGCGAGCTATCTACATTTTAGCCTATGACCTCAGCAGGAATCCCAGTGATCTAGCTGGTCCATCCGAGAGACAAGGATTGTTTGGGAAAGTAGAAGACAGGTTTTGTTTGGAGACCAACTTTGACTACCTGGACTCTTGGATGTCATCTGTGGCTTCCTCAGTCGATAATTTTAACGGTCATCATTCAAATATCAGGCTATCTGACAACCTTCCAGGAATGCTTCCCCCGGTTTTCCTGGTTTGTACTCATGCTGATCAAGCATATGGTGATCAGGATCCTGCCTCGCTGGCGGCCAGTATCTTTGGATCTCTTCAAGGCAAACTGTACAGTTCCCACTTGTTTAAAAGTGTCTTTGCTGTAGATAACACAAAGGCGGGCTCCGCGCACGAGTGTCCAGAGGTCAAACGTTTAAGACGAGAAATCCTCTCCGTTGCTGAGGAGCTACCGCATGCCAAGGAGGACATTCCATTAAAGTGGCTAATGTTTGAAAAAGAACTACGCCTAAGGATCAATGAGGGCATTAAATGGATTGCTTTTGAAGACGCAAGGCAAATTGCATTTGAAAAGTGCCATATTTCTGACGAACTAGAATTTACGACGTTGTTAAACTTTTTACACGACCAGCGTATTGTGATTCATTTTTGTGACACACCGAGTCTAAACAAGATGATTGTTTTAGACATGCAGTGGCTTATCGATGTTTTCAAGAAGGTGATCACTGTTGAGCCGTATGGTGTGGAAGGAAGTCATTACAGAGACCTTTGGCTCAAACTTGAGAAAACTGGTAGTCTAGATGAAGAACTGCTTGCGCACGTGTGGGGCGCTTTGTATCAGCAGAGGGAAGTCTTCGAAAGTCTTATTCAAATCATGGAGAAGTTCAGCCTAATGTGCCAATGGCCATCGTCAAATGACAGGAAGCAGTACCTTGTGCCGTCCATGCTTATGTCTTACCCGTCCGAAGACGTGGTTGGTCTTGTTGCAACTTCTCGACTTCCGTCTCTGTACATCTCGTTCCACTCCCGTCAGGTTCCCACCAGCTTGTTTCCGCGAATGGTTCTACAGTTTTACCAATGGTGTTCTGAAGAATGGCCAAATTCATGCCAACCACAACTATACCGCAATTTTGCGAGGTTCCTTGTCCTACCTAAGGAAGGTTGTTCTATCATTCTCGTTTGCCACTCTTCCTTCATCGAAGTCGTTCCTCACTGGGCATCAGGAGTTTGTAGTACCTCCAACGGTTCAAAAGGGAACGTCGATTTGCCTGCTGTTGTGTCTGATCAACCCCCTGATGTTCACGTCGCACGGGCCGTCAGAAGGCAATTGGGTTTGATGCAGGAATGTATGCGCAAGGAGTTCCCTTGGTTGAAAAACATGGGATGGCAGCTGAAAGTGCTCTGTTCGGTGTGTTGCCGGGGGAATTCCGTTGATTTTTGTCGCGACCATGGAGTGAAAAATTGTAGGCAAGAGCATTGCCTGCACTTCTGGTCAGAAGCCGATTTTCCTCGAGACCAACAGTTCGTTGTTTGTGAGAGGTCTGCATGTGCTGCCGATCCCAGATTGGACATCAGGAAGTTTGCACCGTGGTACACCTTTCTGGATGAGCAAGTTAATGTAAATATATATGCTTATTATTGAATTGATTTTTGTTATTTTCATATTTCATTTTAACATCACAATTAGCTATCTTATTATCAGCAATATGGGGAATAGTTTCACATTAAATCGAACGCGCATTAACTCAATAACTTAATTCGTATTCTTTTTGTGTATCTTTAGAAAGCGCAAGTTCATCATAACGACTATTTTTCAAGAAAACTTTGTTCTGTGGAGGGTGAGTTGGCCTGTTTCCCTTCGCCCAAAGATTTTGATAAACTTTATCATTGTTACAATTGTTGTTATATACTGCTATTTTTATAGTTATTATTATTATCCTTATTTGAGTTAGGTCATTTCTTTTAATTAACAGAGTTTTCATATCTCATTGTAAATTAAGGTATGTTATATGTAAACTACCCTCCATCTTACCAAGACGCATCACGCTAGCTTATTATCAGTCGCTTAAAGAACTCTTTACCTTCAGGCTTTTCTTCTGTTCACTCTATTTTCTCTTTCTCGGTACAGAGAAGAAAGCAAACGAACTTGTTCTCTCGAGTGGTGCTGTTGAGTCCCTTCAGTCGAGGACTGATGCTTTAAGTGTTGTCGTTCCAATTCTGGACAAGCTGCAGTTAAGCCAAGAGGCTTTGACAAATCCCGTACCTGAAACCACCGGAGTAGTCCGTTGCCTTGCCAGAATAGCTAAGAGAGAAAATCGCACCGACGTAGTGAAGCATTTGAGGCAAATAACTTCAGCGGGAACTGCAGGTATTTTGTTCATTACTTCTTTGTTAACTATTATTCAAGACTTGGCGCCATTTTCTTTGTGTGTCGTAGACAAAAAAATTCAGCCTTCATAACGAGGGTGCTTCGAATGACATATAAATCTGAAATTGTTGTAATGACCAGGATGTCAAGTAAGCTTACGAACTTAAAGCTAATTGCCTGCTTGAGTTTTGTAGCAATAACATCTCGGAAAATCTGGTCAATCTATTTCCCGAACAGGCTAATACTACTGAACATTTCTTCATTTGACTCAAATGACTATTTCCGCCCATCAAAGTCCTTTTTAGGGCTGCACTCACTCAGACAATCGACAATCGACAATCGACAATCGACAATCGACAATCGACTAGAGTTAGATTTTAGCGATATAAACGTTAAGTTAAGCTTTTTTTTCTCTTTCGATTTTGCTTCCGTTTTTGTTTATTCATTTGTGTCTATAGACCAGAGTTGATAACGTAAATTGGTCACCGTAAAGAGTTTCAAAGCTGATGTTTCGAGCGTTAGCCCTTTGTCAGAACGAAAGACGAAAGGCTAATCATTCCTATGCGCTCTGACGAAGGGCTAACGCTCTAAACGTCAGTTTTGCAAATCTTTACGGTGACCGATTTACGATTTCAACTCATTTGTTAATACTAAATTATCCTGTTATACTCTCTTACCGACGCAGCGCTACAGTTTCTTTAGAAAATTACCGCCTCTATAGAACGGAGTTGTCCGTTACCTTCTTTTCACCCTTTCGTTTTTCTCCAGGCGCTTGAATTGATGTGATTTCATGTCTTCCACAATTTTAGTATCCTTATGTATGAAACATTTTTCTTTTAGGTCCACTTTTGCCCGAAGAACTCGGTCTTCAAGAAATTCCTCAGTCACAGATTGTGGAACTTACGATGAGCTTGAGTGGTAAAAAATCGTTAATTTCTCTAAAAATTACATTCGTAATTTTATATGTTAGTCAATATTAAGCAAAAGTTACCAGGGATTACTTGGTCTTAGACCAAAAATTTTTTTAGCAACTTTTTTGTTATGGTAAGTCATATCTAGATAATGTCAAACGTCAAAATTTAAAATGTGATGTTTTTAGTCTACTCTCTCTGTTTTCTTTAATTTGTAACTTTTTGTAAAACGTAAATGGAACGTTATTACCCAATGACTGTTGTCTCTTGATCTAGTACCCATCAAGCGGTTACCATGATGGGAAAGACTCTATGGGGGTGGGCCTTTCGTTCTTTCTTCTTTTAATAGTGCAGGCTTGTAACGATTCTTCCCAACACAAAGAATTGATTAATGTCCCATTCTCAGGTGGGGAAGAGTGGAAGCTGCTTGCAGAGAAACTGGGTCTGAAAGACACCGAGATCCGTTACCTTGACAAGAGAACCATGAATCCATGTCTTGAGGCTCTAGTGCACAGCCATCGGCAGCGTTTTATTGACGTGGGTAGGCTTTACGATACCTTGATCGAATGTGAACAGCCCATTATAGCTGACTTGTTATAAGAAACGAGCTATAGACCATTTCCTTTTTCGTAACAGTTCTAAAGTTAATTAGCAACAGACGTATTTGTGAGGGAGCATTGGATTCTAGGGCCGGTTGAACTACTGTTTGCAATTTAACTCCATTTTGGCGAAAAAAACCGCCGCTTCTTTTTTACCTTTTTTTTGGCTTTGTTTGACGATCTATTCCTCCCGTCTAACGTTTTCCCTCGCCTCTTATGTCTGCGCATCGGTCTCGAACAATTAAGTATTTTAAGACAAAACCATATTTATTAGTAAGACTGTAGTGACGATGCCACTGAATCATAAACTGCTATTCGGCTTTCAAAGTACGCTATCAGTTTTTCTTTTTCTGGGTACCAATCATTTTGAGATGCCTGACATTGCTTTTTAATGCTGGAGTTGTATAAGCCATTCCTGCTCAGATGCAAGAGCGTAAGTCCTAGGAGAGTTCTAGCGAGGTCTAATGTTGGCAACAGAAATGCCGTGAAAAAAAAAAGTGAGTGGCATGAGACTAAATCGAAGGGCCATGCCTTCAAGAATAGTTTGCGTTCCTGATTGACTGGCGGCTTTCAGACGAACTTAGCAAGCGTCAATATCTCTTCATTAAAAAGGTTTATATCTTCAAAATTTTGAACGAAAAAAAAAACTACGTTTATTAACCGTAGGGATATATTTACTTAAGTAAGGTTTATTTCCATAGTTTCCATAAGAAAACGCCATAACGTGTAGGGTCAGTTGAGGTACCTATTTTCTCCCAAGAGTATAAATGGGACCATCGAACTGTTGGGGAATTCCGACGAAAATGGCGTAGTCGGGGGTATAGGGGTATGGGTATAGCAACGATTTTAATCCCTTAGTTTTTTTCCAAATGGTGTAAATTCCTGCAGTTTGTAGATAAGTAGAAAAAAGGGGCTTTATTGGCTCACGATCAACTTGCAACTTAAAAGGCTATAGCTTTTTGCTAGGAATTCATTTTGTAAACTTTATTAGACTGAATTCCTGAGAGGGAAAATACTTCTTGACTGAAGAAAGAGACCTAACGGCTTGCTCTCTTCTTGTTTTCAAGATTCTTTTATTAAAGAAGTCTGAATTTCTTTTTCTGATTCTTTTGAAATTAAAGTAGCTCCAGCAGTTAACGGAAGCTTAATTAGTTTATGTTATTAGCTTTTGTATAAAGTTTCACTTCCACATGAGAGGTGGATTGTTTATCTTTTCAATGCTGACCTCAAATAGCTTTCAGAAGGTAATAAAAGAGTTCTCACGAGGGTGCGCAGACGCTTAATAGAGCTTTCATCAAATAGCTTCGTTAGACGACGTCTTCAGCCCTCACGTGTGACGTAGGTAGTCTGTTCTGCTATATATTCAAATGTTAACAAAGAAAAAAAAATAGAGAGCTATTTTTCTATAAATAATTACTTATTTCTGGTCACCAAGTGATCTCAAGGCAATTTCCGACTATCTGAAATTTTTTTATCATGTAGTGGTGTACAATCAAATTAGGAATAAATAGATACCCAAGATGTTATTCATTACCACGCTGGTTGAATGAGCTTTTATTTTTTAAAAAATAACCACTCAAGAACTGATTCATTTGCATTAATCATCCTAACCGTTTTGGTAAAATACTTTTTATAATGCTGCATTTACTCTCGTTAATAAATTTGTGTTTTGCATAGTAATATGGCTATTTTCTTATTTTATCAATCAGTTTTTCTGCAAGCAGAGTGGTACATTTTGATTTAACTATTATAAAAAGGATTCTTATAAACACAAAGTTAAATCGACGATTAAGGTTCAAGCACATGATAACAACGAGGAAGAGATCGGTGAACCATCTTCAGGAGACCATAATACTTTTTTCCATGGTTTACTTGACTACCATTTCAGCCCGAAACCAACCGTACCGGAGCGTCATTGTCCAAGTCTGGTTTCATAGAGTTACACTCTGGAATCGGAGTATGTGAAGAATTAAGAGGGCTTTATAAGCGCATCCTTCATGCTAAAGGAGACAGCAATAACGGCTTCGGCAATTGGGAAACAAGTACCGGAACAGACTTGATAAGAAGTAAAATACATTAATAGCTGAGCTAGCCAGAGCATAGTCGTTTTCGTGTGTGTACATTTGTTGCGTGTGCAAGCGTAACACCGTAGACCTGAGCTGGGAGCGAATACGGTTGAATGATGCAGCCTCCATAATTTTCCTTGAGCCTATTCCTTTTGAATTTGATGATTTTCTCCGCACTGTCAAGGATTGCCAAACGGCCCATATCTTCCATGGCCATTTTTTCTGAAGGCGCACTGAAATCAAACAGCCATTAGATCGTGATAACAAGCAATTTCTAGTGTGACAGCACCAGGCATCTTTTCGTCGTGTTTCCGTCCTCTGCCCATCAGCTGATGTGATAGTACCACTGTTCTGTTGTTAATATCGATCCTCATTTTTGCTTGACCGAGGAAGGAGTCGCAGAACACATTGCTGTCCCAAATCTGGAAAGCAACACAATAGTAAAAAGACTGAAAATAGAAGTTAATGATAATAATATAAAATTAATAGTTACGATACTAAGAACAATGGTAATGATGATAATGGTGATTGTAAAGTGAAACAGAATTAAGAAATACTCGCACCATCTGGGCAGGCAATAAGCATACAGACATTATTAACATCAGCAATAACAACTCCAAAGACAACTGTGTTGCAACGCTCACTGAGGCTTGGACCAGGTAAGACTTTTTGCAGTTAACTCGGTTCATCCCAAGCTAATACCACCCTGATTCTCTCCGCACTCTCCCCGCTATTTATCGAAGAATTGTTAGTAAGTTGAGACCAACCTGTACTACCAAGTGCGTTTCCTTGGGTCTCCTGACGTAAAACAAAGCACCAGCTGAATTCCACACCGGGTTTCGTGTGTCCTTCACTGTGGGAATTCGGACAGTGTTTCCCTCGCACTTGATCAGGGCGTAAGGATCAACGCCTGATAGAACATTTGAACAAAGAAAGAAGGAAAGAAATAGAAATAGTCAAATGCTACATAATTTTTCTCTTTAAATTTTCATTGCACAATGATAATTATTTCGATCATTCAAAGCAGCTTTCTTAACTTCTGAAAAATCCAGTTCATACTATTAAAGTTAGTTATTTTCAGATCATGTTTATGCTATCCATTCTTAACTATTCTCGTTCTTTTTTAGATTATTTTCGCTACTATGTACGAATTTCGTATACATACAAACTGGCCACTGATATCGAAGGCTATTTAATTTATACAGGGTGGAGATTTCAACTTTATATCTGAACAGAATTGAATCGGTGAGCAGTTTAATAGGTTAAAGGAATGTGGATTTGCATTCAGCCATTGCTCTTGCTGACTGAGGCTATGCCTCTGTAGCCAATTCATCTGAGGTTTAAGAGTTGCTGCTAGTGTTTTTAAAGATGGCTGGACCGTTACTTTTAACAAATGAGATTTATTTGCCATCTATATGCTCTATATCTGATTAGGGTAACATCCTTACTTAGCAACGTTCTCTTCTGGAGGTCAACCGCTGACTTTACAAAAACAGACAGGATGCAAACAGGGGTGCGAAATCTTGGGATGCAGCAGCAAATTTTACTTCCCTTGGGATGATCCTTTACTAATGCTCTACGAAAAATCAACAGGACAAGTTAACCCTTTAACTCCCATGAGTGACCAAGACAGAATTTTTCCTAACAATATCAATACAACATCAAGTACACAAGTGAAGAGAAAAAAGGAAAATATGAATTATGGATTACTAGTTGATCCAGTATCAAACTCTCCGACCTAACATCATAATAAGTGTATGGCAAACAGTAGGGAGAATTACTAGTGAGATCTTAGGGATGAAAGAGTTAGGAACACGGCATGTCATGTGATACCCCACACCAAGAGTTTTTAATCTTTTGCCCACGACCAAAACGCCAGTGGTTTCCTAATAAAACTGTAGACGTAGATTCCATGTCAGTTAAAACGATTCTGACCCAGGAAATGACTGCAATGGAGCGCAGCAATGCATCGACACACAAAGAGCTAAATGGCTGAAACCAAAACGACACAACAAACAAAAGAATGAAAAGATAAGCGTTTCGTACGTCTGGAAAACCATATTTCCATTCACTGATAAGCAAGCTTTTTGTTTCTTTTCCCTCGTTTTATTTGATTCCAATTTCTTTTTTATTCGAATCGTTGTTTCACTCTTTCTTTTTCCTTGATATGTACAAAGGTGCCACAACTAAAACTGTGTTTTTCTAATAACTCCCAATCTACGCCCGGGCTTTCTAAAGTAACTGGAGATAGTATTTGCACACAAAAGCTTCCTCGAGTTACATACCTCGCATTAGAAGATTTCTCGCTGAAGATTCTCAGCATAAAATTCCCAGCCACATGTGGCTCATATGTTGATGGTATAACAACATATCTCCCCGTCTTCAGCTGAAACCTGTTAACCACTTCCCTCATATTAATGAATATGGAGTCAGCGGCTTTCTCCATCATTACATGTAAACGGTAGCCACGATTCTCTTCCACCTTAACATAAATGAATAAATTCTGAATACCAGTATATTTTGTCACGACTATGGGTTTGAATAGAAAGTAATTTTCCAAAATTTGCTGCTGAGAAGAACGTTCTTTTTCTATATCATTTTATGCTATAATCATAGAGTCGTCTTGCAACTTCTAATTTACTAAAGGGGCAGGTTTCTAAATAAACTGGGCTAGTTTACTAGTTGGCTAAGATTAAGAAACCCCTCAAAATCTATGGGAATTTTCCAACTAGTCTTTCATGGTACGACGTATGACCTTTTCTGAAATCCTCATTTCAGTTTTTTATTTTTTTTCCTGTTCTTTTCCTTCTTATTTATTCATTCAGCATCCATTTCCTGAGCGCAAATATCATCAATGTCAAGGAGACCTTCTTTTTCCCTGGTTCTGATTAACAGCTATCGACTGGTAGATAACCGAAAACGTTTCTACTCTTATAAATGTAATACCTTCATAACGTAATATCCAATACTTAGATTCTTTCCGCCTTCATCTCTATCAATCCTCGTATCTTCCTGCATCAGTGCTATCATTACCTCTCCTGCGTCATCATCTTTTATGCTGAAAGCGTACTAAGAACGCAAAAATGGTAATTTGTGGTGATGATATTTGGGGAAGCTTCAACGTGCAAGGAAACCTTTAGGGAGGCGTTTGTCAGTTTTGAAGTTGTAGGTAGACAGAAGCAACTTAACCCTTTACACCCAAACACCAATATGCATATTCTCCATACTGCTCTCTATACATTTCCTAAGGTGCTGACATGGAGAATGTGTTTAACAATCAAGACCTTCTTTAGTTGGTGATCTATTGATTTATTCTCGTGACTTTAATGTTTGATTCTGGGCTGATATTGAAAGGAGAAATAAGATGCTTGTCATTCCTAGGGTTAAAGGATTAAGGTTGAAGTGGGAAGTGATTTACTAGCTGATGTCCAGTGAGGCATGGCCCATTGTATGAGACCGATCAAATTATTTTCAATACCTGTGGATTCTTGAAAAATGTGGCTTGGTTGGTAACGCATCCTCCCGCAGATGAACCGGGCTTCCATTCGTTTTTGTGTTTAAAAATGTGCCATCGCTTAGATAAAGAGAATATTGATGTATTCATCAAGTGACACATGGTGGCTTTGGAAAAGTAACGGCAGAAATCTTCAAACGACATCCTGTGAAAAATGGAAAAATATGGCAGAAATTGAAACAACCGGTTTCGACAGGAAGTTCTAAAGAAATGCGTACAGGAATGTTTGGAAATAACCCCCAAAAAACAACATCAACAATTTTGGTAATGATAATAAAAATAACAAAATGATAGTACATATGACGAGTGAATAATGACATGGCATGTTAGAGCATGGGGTGTAAAGATAAGAGTCCCTAGAATCATTTGTTCTCTACAATTAAAGACCTCATAAATCACACGTTATTGATAAAAGATTTGAAGATCTACGGTAAGAGTTTGGAACAAGTATAGAAACCTTGGTAAACACTGTCTAGGAAAACACCTGTTATTATTTGTTATTGATATGTTAAAAAATTTCGCATGCATCAGCATTATGGTATTTTCAAACCGACCAGAACTCGCCATCATCTTCAAAATCAATTCCTAGCTTTTTCCTTGCTTCTGCCTCAAGCTTGTTCCACTCCTCTGAACTGTTTAAACACAAAAGGGCGTCTCATAACAAGAACTAGACCATACAACTAAGTTTTTTCAAGCCAAAGATTGACTGCATGCTTGTTACCCATCGCTCCACGCGCCATTCCATTCTTTTTGTCCCCAGGGATTTCTAAGTCGGATCAGGTAGAGATACTCTCGATTAAACAAGTTGAATAAACCTTCACCAGTGGTGATCTTAAAAAAAAAATTAGGAAAAAAAAGAAAGAAAAGGATTAAAAATCAGAAAAAAAATCAAAATTTCACCGTAAAAAAACTAAAACAAGCAACAAACAAACATAACATTTTGATATAAGAAGGCGCTATTTATAGAATTCGTTTGTTAAATCTAGCTCATCGGACGAGTAAAATTACCTTGCCTGAGGCGCCAAAATTTACTTACCTTTTTTATCGCAGTAACTCCGTATGCATGTCCCTTTACCAAACCAGTCTCTGTACG